TTGTTGGGGCTGGGTGATTTATTATACTATTCTGTGTACCTAGGATTTACTGTTCTATTCTGCATATGAAACAAATGAACATAAAGAAGAAAATAAGCCAGAAGTAAGTCTGGTTTGCAAACATACATGAGGGAGTCTTACTGAGTTGCTAGAGGGGCCATTTAGCCAGAGCAAGGAGGGGAGCCCAGTCAATGGCAAGACTGTGCCTATAAAACAAGGTCAACTATTCACCTGAGAAAAGCCCAGAGACTATGGTCACAAATTTCCACGAAAGGAGTCCTGACTTCTTCACAAGCATCCATGAAATAATCTCTTCTGAAAATGCCTAATATCTCATCAGCAAATATGTGAGTGTTCTAATATGCGAAATAATATAGAGCAAAGGAAAGATAATTCTTACCTGGAAGGACCTGGCAATCAGACAGGGAAGATAAATAACAACAAAGGATATCCCAGGGGCCACCCAGAGTGTCATTCAACAAATATATCCTGAGTACCTCCTTTACAGGGTTGGGAGTCCACTACAGACACCACTTTAAACACATCCTGTACTCCTACATCTTAGAGACCATGAGGAAAAAGTAACATCTGTTGAGTGCTTACTCTGTGCCAGGTATTATCTTAAATATTTTACATGAATAATCTTTTGCATTTCTCAAAACCCTATAAGGAAGGTAATATCATCATTCCTGTTTCACTGATGAGGAAACTGAGGCAGGAGAGTTTTAGTAACATGACTAAAATCACACAGCTAAGTAAGTAGCAGGGCCAAGGGTGACACTCAGGTGTTCTGGCTCCAGAATGCATACTTTCTCACTCCTATGGTATATAGCAGTGGTTCCCAACTGGGGAGGATTTTGGCCTCCAAGACATATGGAAACATAATTTTGATTACCACAACTGGGGGCGGGGGACTGGGTGCTACTGGCATCTAGTGAGTAGAAGCCAGGAATGCTGGTAAACCTCCTCCAATGCACAGGATATCCCCCACAACAAAGAATTCTCCAGCCTAAAATGTCAATAGAGCTGAGTTGAGAAACCCTGGTATACAGGGAAGACACGTCACTGAACAAGTAATTATAGGCTTAAAGATGGTTACAAAAGAGGGCTGGCCAGTTAGCTGAGATAAGGTTAGAGCGTGGTGTTATAACACCAAGGGCAAGGGTTCAGATACCCTTACAGGACAGCCGCCAAAAAAAAAGTTACAGAAGAGGAAGTAACTGATTTCCTTAATGTGTTGTCCAATTCAAAGTGTGAATTTTTTTGAAATGTATTTTTTTCTTCATGCATGTCACAGTTGAAGATTCTCCAACTAAAAAGGACATGTTCGCTTTGAGTCTGGCTCTAATAGCATCAGAGGTTTTATGCTAAACCAGTCACATTCTCTTTTTTGACACTGATGTCTGGTATTAGAGGTTTAGTTTATAACTGTGAAACGGAAGGGGCCAGATTGAGATGTAATCAATGACCTAAGATCTGTTGGGACCATGCTCCAAAATTATGATGAGAAGGGATAAGGGGAAAACCAAGCTCAGGCGCCATCATTTTTACTAACAGTCCCTCCCTTAAATGCTGGTTATTCAATGTATTCTAATTAATTTCCTTCTGCTTGTCATTGCCACCATCCAGAACTTTTCCATTAGTCCTAGTTACGCAATTCCTGTGATCCAGAGCATCCCTTTGACACTCGTCTTGATGCCCTCCTAGTACATCCAGCTCTGGGATTACAGCCAGAAAAACCTGAGTTTGCATCCTGGCTCTGCAATTCACCTGTTCATCAGTTTCTTAATCTGTTTTTTGTTTTGTTTTGTTTTGTTTTTAAATACTGTAATATCCCCTCAAAGGGTTTTGTAAGGATGAATGAAATAACATCTGGCCCCTTGTATGCGTTCAGTTATGTCATTCCAAAATCTGAACAAACAGGCTCCTTTCTAGAACCTATTGAGTTAAAATCCTTAATGCAGACTGACAGAGGTCAACCTAAATGCTAATGACTACCTCTTCCTCACTCTAATCTTTTCCCCTAATAAAGTCAAGCTCATATAACGCCTAGACCTTTATGATAAGCAAAAGAGGGCAGCAAACACGGCTTTGCCTTCTTTGTGCCAGTCCTTCAAAGAGAGATCACTTATGATCGGGGGCAAATACTAACTCTGCTTTACCCTTTCAACTTGATTATAAAAAAAAAAAGTAATAATAAATGCAAACAGATATTCTACCTGTAGCATTTATCACAGGTCCTAGAAAGATACCCCCTACTAATAAACATGGTTCTACCTTCTTCATGTAGTTCACAAATACCAGCAAACCCAATTTTCAATTGATTACTGCTACCTTACTCCATAACAGAGTGGTGGTAAGTAATGCATAGGATTTGGAGTTAGTTGGGTCCGGAATTGGATCCTGGCCTTCCACACTGATCAGCTATGTTACCGTTAGAGTAAGTAATTAACGCCCAGCCACCAAAAACAAAACAAAACAAAAATAGAGTAATTAACTTTTGAGTCTCAGCCTTAATTTCCTCATGAGCAAAATTAAAATAGTCTTATCTTTTTTTATTTGATTTTATTTTTTTAAGATGACTGATAAGGGGATCTTAACCTTTGACTTGGTGGTGTCGGCATCACACTCTCTCAAGTGAGCTAACTGGCCATCCCTATATAGGGATACGAACCCGTGGCCTTGGTGTTATCAGCACCACACTCTCCCAAGTGAGCTACAGGCCAGCCATTATCTTCTTTTAAAATAGACTCATCTATTATTTAACTTTGAGGTTGTTTTAAGAAGTTAGAGATATCTAAATAAAGAACCTGACCAAGTACTTGGCACATGATAGGCACTCGATAAATACTATAGTAGCAAACATTAGAAGCTCTAGCTCTTAATACAACATTAAGAACCTTAGTTAAAATTTCTGAACGCAGGGCACATTTGTGGAATGGAATGAGCTGTACCTGAGGAGTCCAAGATTTCGTGAAGTCTCTCAATACTCTACAAGTAGAGACATGCTCCAGAGCCCAGAACCCTCTCTACGATTTCCGTGGCTTGCCCACAAGCAGAGCTGATTACCCTGCCCTTGTCAATCCCCGCCATGCTGGGCACTGAATTGAACACGTGCTCTTGCCTTTGTCTTCCTACCTGTCCCATTTTGAGGCTATTAGCCCTCTAAGGGCTGAAATCTGGCTTAGTTTTGATACTCAGTTGTAAAATGTTTGTTAAATACCAAAAAAAAAAAAAAAAAAAAAGCCACAAACTATGAAAATTACAGACCCAATTCCTACAAGGAAAGATTGTAACTTTCCCTTTTAACCAAGTCAACTGCACAAGACCTGACTACGTTGACAGCACTGAGGCAAATACCAAATGAAGTGAGAATTAATACAGTTCACACCCTGTCATGTCTTATTTAAAATCACCGAGATTATAAAAAACATTCCTGTCACCTGGCTCCATCCTGTTCCTGATGCTCTGCCCAAGGTTCCCCTACAACTCCTACTTTTTAGAGCAATTTCTTGGCACCCCGTTTAAGAATCTTAATCTGATTCAACGAGAAAGCACGAAGTTCTCATTTTAACTTCTGTTACATCTTACAATTTCCTCACATTAATGTGCCTGTTACTTTGCTTTACCCAACAGTATAAAAGTAGGTTCCTTCAAACCATCCCTTCTTCCCCTCCAATAGAGATTATACAGATACCTCCCTAACTTAGTGAGCAGGAAGACTATATAAGTACACCAGTGAAGATGGGAACTGTCCAGTGCTCCCAAATGGAGAGAAATCTTTTTCTTTTTTTGTCTTTTTTTCGTGACCGGCAACGGATCACAACCCTCAGTGTCGCGCCCGTACTGGACCGGGACCAGCAATGGGATCGCAACCCTCAGTGTTGTGCCCGCACCTCGCTCAGCCAGTGAGCGGCCGGTCTGTATGTGGGATCCGAACCCTCGGCGGGAGCGCCGCCGCGCTCCCAAGCGGCGCACTGTAGCAGTGCGCCACTGGGCCGGCCCCGAGAAATCTTTGTATTCAACAATGGTAGGGACAACAAGTGTGGTGAATTGAATTATGTCCCGCCAAAACTCTCTGAAGCTTGAATTGTGTCCTCCAAGTGTTATGTATTAGAAACTTTGCCCCCACTGTGACTGTTAAGAGTGTGGGAAATCCTATTATGGTAATTGAAAGGTGGAGCCTTGAAGAGGTGATTAGATTGTAGGACCGTGCAGTAGTGAATGGATTAAAAATGGTGCTCAGGGGTGTGGTTCTAAGGGCTTTAAAAGAGAGAGGAGAGAGGAGAGTCTGTCTGTCTTTCTCTGCTCTACCATCTCACAAAGTGATTCTCTGCGTCACTGAAATCATCACCGAGACCCTCACCAGATGTGTTTCCTGGATTTGAACTTCCAAGCCTCTGAAACCATAAGCAATAAATTTCACTTTCTTACAAAGTACCCAGTTCCATGTATTCTGTTATAACCAACAAAGATGCACTAATACAACGAGATACAATAAAAGTAGCTACTCTTTGAGAGCAAGTTTAGTACAACAAGTTTAGCAAAACCGGCAGCAGATACTTCCTAACAGACTGCAATTGTACTCAGCCTCCTTAACACTAACCACTGCCTCTGGTGAACACTCTCTTAACTTCCCTTTCCTGTGGAAATGACCTGAGAGCTCTCACCTCTCTGTTTCTCAGGCCAGTGTTGAGACGCCTGGATCAGGGACAAGGAACACCTCCAAATGTCAAATGTTCACATGATGCCTGGACATCAGAGATGGGAGCAATTTTCTCTTTCATGTGGTCAGAGAATCAAAGATTCCTCCTCAGGTGTGGAGGGATTAATGTACAAAGACAGGGGTTTAACCACTGGACTCTGTAGGAAGAGTGCTTGCTCTAACAGCCAGAAAAAGAGCTTCAAGAAAGTGGTGTGGCCTTTGGGGGCAGGGGGGCCATTTTGATACTATACTGGATCATATCCAAGTTAAATAATTAATATAACTACAGCCTTACCTGGAACCCTGGATCTCAAGAAATAGAGAAACTTCCCATTCTTGGAGTGCATGATGGCTCTCTTAATGAACTCCACCACAGACTGACAGCGATCCTCAAACTTGGGGTGACACCAAAGGCTGAAGGTTCCTGCCATGGAAAATTAAGGAGAAGTAAAAATTTAAAAACTTACTTTAGAAAGATCTGAGAGACTGATTTGAACATTTTACTAATGATTCTTACTTTGGAGAGGGCAATTTTGTGGGCAAGCTGGGTCAAAGGTCCCTGAAGCCATGTTTTCCTGCTTATTCCACAACTAATGGGAAGAAAGATGTTGTATTTCATAAGATGTAAATTAGGTCTTACAAGATTTTTGTTAAACAAATAAATAATAAATTCATATCAGAAAAAAGGATATAAAAAGGTTTGAACATTAATCAAAGTATGAACATTAATCCTTAAATCATAGACTTTGTTTTTATATATGAGGGTACTTCAAAAAGTTCGTGGAAAAACAGAATTAAAAGACAATATGAATCTGTCCATGAACTTTTTTAAGACCTCTTGTACATATTTCCTATAAATACCATAAGAAAAGACTACCATACAGCTAGCTAGTTAGCTCACTTGGTAGAGTGTGATGCCAATTACACCAAGGTCAAGGGTTCAGATCCCCTTAGTGTCCAGCCACCAAAAAAAAAAAAAAAAAAAAAAAAAAAAA